TTGCTCGCCTGGAGCGCCACGAGTCTCAAAGTCTATGAAAGAAAGGAAAGGATGTTTAATTGGCCCCGTTTCATATACGTGCGTACTTCGTTTCACGGATGAACGATCGGGATCGACATGTTTTCGCGAGCTGAGATTTATCGAGACTAGTCTATCCGGTAGCTGCCTTTTCCTTCCGCGCTATCGACATTATCCTTCGCCCCTCCCTTTCACAATGGATTCCTTTGTCCGACCTAATAACACGGGGTATCGAGGCTACGCTGCCGTATCTGTCGATCGGGTCACGAGCAACCGCGACGCGATACAATAATACGTCCGATCGTTTTCGATAAAACCTCGCCGATGATTTAGCACGTATCGCCGCGCCGCCTCGTGAACGCACGGTCCATTGAAAAATTCCCTGGTCGAACCGTGCCATCAGCCACCCCCCCCCTCTCTCTCTCTTTATTGTTGCAAAAATTCTGATCAGCCTCGGTTCTCGTCAATTTCCGACCTCTTTATATTCGGTCAATTGCGAAGGTTCGCGAGGCGTTTTCAGTTAATACAGCATAATTGTAATCGTAAAAATGGTGGCGAACACGATTGAAGGGTTGTTGGATGGCTGACGAAAATTCCTTGTTCCCCGATGAAGCGACTTTTTATCAAGCGCTATAATGCTCGTACTATTAGTAAAGTGAAATTTTGCAAATTTTCGCAATTGAAATTTAACATACTCGACGAGAAATAAGAAAAAGAAATCACCGTATAATTCGAATATCAATAATTTCTATCATTATCAGGATGAAATACTCTAAATTCTCCGCGAGCGATAACAGCGAGTACAGCGAGTACCGAAACGCTTCATCGACAGCGATAGGGGACGGGGAAATGGCTGGTGAAACCTGGTGGCGCAAAAACTTTCAACAACTGCCAAAGCCACCCCCGAGCGAAGAGGAACGTGATACAACAACGGTCGAGTGAAGTCGGACGCGGAGAAAAACGAGATGGAAATCAGACCGCGTCGTTAAACCAACGAGTCAGCAAACTACCCTTCAGCTTTACTTACCATTTCCTCACCGTTTATGTAGACACTTATTTTTATATATATATATAATATCTTTCTGCCTCTCGTCTTCTTTCTCTCCATCCGCCTCGATCCCTCCTCGCGGACTGTCGCGACAAACAGCGTTGCCACCCTCTCGTCGTGGAACCCGTATTTTCCAATGCCACGCCAGCCACACCCCCTGCCCTCTCTCGCATTATTGCGGTTTCCGCGCGCGAACGGCGAAAATACCTCGTAAGTTTCGCGACCTTCGCGACTGCGGCTGGGATTTATTTTGCGGCTGGAGGAAGTATTCTCCTTTTTTTTTTTTCTTTCTTTTCTTGCAAGGGTGAGAGAATGTCTCAAGCGAGGTGAGCAGGTTTCGCTTCTTCAAAGAGATGGGTTGACAACGAGGGTTCTTTGGAGCAAAGACGAGGTTAATACATCGACAGTATTCAATAATTTGTAATTTAGATTTGAATAAATTGCGGGTGTTTACTTTGTGGAAACTCACCTTTACTTGATGGGGATGGTTTTCGGCGAAATCAGTCGAAAAATTGGAATTCTCAAAGACAGAACGCGTAATTTATATCGTTTGTACATGCATCCGATCGTCTTTATTCATTTATTTCTTACGGATCGAAATATTTATTGGATTGACTTGGGAACAGCACCAAAGAGAGATCATTTTAACTGGCTAAGTAGTTTTTGATTTGAATTTGGAGAAAAAAGATTTCTCACTGTAATACAAATTTGTTGGAAGAATACAATATTCGAATAAACTAGCTTTGGATAAAACAATGTATTCACGTGTAGCATACTACTTTATTTAATAGATAAACATCGATAAATACGCATATGAATGAATGAAATACATTGTTTTATTGGAAATCGCTTTGTTCGAATGTTTGTACTCTTAAAAAGCCATAAAAATCGATCTTGCTAGATGACGTTTCAAGCCTGACGACATTCCGTCGAGATCGTTAAGGGGGATCGCGGAAATCGTTCGAAAATTCGTAAACGATCGAGGGAGAGGAAGAAGGTCTGTTAAATTTACCGAGGAAAAGATTGCCGGTCCTTGGTTCTCGCGCGTAAATAGCAGTTCAGCGAGGTAGCAGGGGCGAAAAGGAAGAGGATTTCATGGTGTGGTGCAGTCTGCCTGAGCAAGTAATGGGTGGAGAATGGCTCGGTTCGTCTTCTCTAAAGTGGACGCCATCTGCTTCTGCAACTCGCCTCGAAAGATATTTATTATATATCTCGAAAGATATTTGTTATATACGATTCTTCGTTGTTCGCTGGATTGTGGAAATCAGTATCGCATTTAAATATCAGTGATTTTTTGACTCAACTCGTTTGGTTTATTAATCTCAGAGCCAATTTTTATATTTCGTACACACATCTTCATAGCGTGAACATGTCAATTTCTATGTTGGAATGATTTTCCACTATAGAAGATATTATTTTACTTTCTTCCAGTCGTATAATAATAACATTCGTCAATTCCTTTCCACATGTCCAAGTGTAGAGTTTCATTTATTCGAGCGAAATTTCAGTCAGTTGAATCTGTTTGTCTCAACAATAATATAAATACTTTGGGAATTTCTCATTGTAGAAACTCCGGTCACATAATCTGCTATCCTGCGAAGAATTGCACTATATATTAAGTAAATCAGTTACTCAATTAATCACACGTAGAACTCTAAATTATAAACTATAAGTAGATAATCAATAATTGTTTCAATTTAACATCTATCCCACAATCACTCATTCTATCGCGCAGACATCTCGAAACTTTCCCCGTATTTACATGCTTTACATGGGACAAAAAATTTTATATTTAATTTTATATTAATTTATATTATTATTATTATATTTAATTTATTTAATTTTATATTAAATTATATAATTCTATATTTTCTTGTATTAAAATGTATTGTGATGAAGTGGGAAGAATTGTAAGCCAAAAGATCATTATAAATCTTCGCCTGAAACAATGGTTGCTGTTATTAAATGCAAAGAGGTTCACACTAACTATTTCTGTCCATTGTTTTTCACGAGATGTGCCATCATTTTCACCTGGTGAAATATTACCATATTTTCTTTTCTAATAACACAAAATTGCAAAAAGATCGACTTATGTTACTTATACACGTTACAAGTAAATGTTCTACGGAAGAACGCATGTAAGAAAGATTTCGTGTCGTTTGTTTAACAAGAAGAAATTCAATGATTTTTTTAGGCTGTCTTAGGCGATCTTTGGTTAGCCGAGGTCCACGTGCTTTGGTCAACGAAGCTTCGTTTTGTCTAATTGTGAGAACTCGCGTCGTCGCGCTCGATAATGAAAGCCCACGTCGCGTCAAGAATTTTTCCATCGCGGCGCAGTACTCGCCGTCAAATTAACGTCCTTACGGTGAGTCGCGGCTATAGTCCCTCCGTTACATTGTAGTGTTATTAGCGTCTCGAACACCTGCTGATCTAACCGACGTAAAATACCGCGTCCCGCGCGTTTACTCGACCCAGGACTCCGTTGGCCAGTCTTTTTGTTCACGGTCCGCCAACACTCGGGCAACACCGAGCATCGCGTCGTAACTAACCGGCCAAGTAGCTGGAAGCAGCTCGTCGAAGCTTCGCCAAGAATAAACGTATCTCAAACTGATTTACACAGTTAATTCGGCGACGGTATGCGCCGCGGCACGATAATCGACGCGACTTTCAGATTACGCCGGTTACTTCGCTGTTCACACAGACACAAGGAAACGCTGAAGCGTTGAACCCGGCATCCAAGTACGAGTCCGGTTAGAACTATCCCAGGCATCGAAATCACCCAGGTTTTTCTGCAGTTTTTTCTTCTCGCTGGAGAAGACTTGTAGACTTGCAATCGCGTTTTCGGGAATTTTTTGCACAACGATTTTCTCTGCATTGTACAAACATTTTTCTCGTCGAAATTGTCGAATTGAACGACTGATTTGTGATTTTTTTTTTAAGGAATGTTGTCATAGATTTCTAATTTTAGGAATTTCTGTCTGACGATTTTCTTCATTTCAGACATTTTGGATATTGTTTTTATTCTAGTGATATCCTGCTCTGGTTTTGGACAATCTTTTGCACAACGATTTTCCTTGTTTTGGCTACGCCTGTTGTTGGAATTGTATAGAGACGTCAAAATGACTATTTTTTTATTACAATATTTTCCTCGTTGAAATTCTGTTGAATAAAAATGACCAGTTTTTTTAATTTTTTTTTTTTTTAAGGAAAGTTTCACACATTTACAATTTG